TTTTGCTAGTTGTTTTTTATCAAAAAGTTTGTTGTCAATTTATTTTTCTTGTTTCTGTAGACTTCTAAAACAAAAGTCTTGCACTTTTTAGAAACAAGAAGAAGAATCTCTGTTCTACTACTGTTTTTAAAGTTAGTAAAGCCCTGTGTAGAGTATATTTTGTTTTTTTTCAAAATTATCTTTTTTTTAAATATAGTGATCAGAAGAGAGAGATCATCAATCTTTAATTTTCATTTTTTTTATCAATAGTTTTAATTAAAAATTACTTTATAAATTAATATTATTAGTAAGTACTGATAGCTTTAATTAGAATTTTTTTTGATTTTTTTGATTAATAATTTTTAATAAAATCATGATGTAATTATTTAAAATTTTTAATATAACTATCTGTATCTTATTTAATAACAATTATTTATATTTATTTTATAACTATAATAAAAGTCAAAATATAAAAAAATTAAAATACAAGTATTTATTTATTATTAAAATTATACAAATAAAGTAATTTTGATAAAATAAATATTGTTAGTTATTTCTATTATTATAGAATTAGATAAATATAAAATATTTATTTAATTATTTAAATATTACAATATAATTGCATTAAGCTTGAATGTTACTATTTAAATTTTCTCTTTTAATTAATAACAATTGTTTTTTATTATATATTCTTTAATTTATAGTTTAATTTAAGTTTCAATTTGTGTTTTCTAAATTACAAAAATTTATTACAATTATATAATACAAATATTCAGTTTCAAAAAAAAAAAATAAAATAAAAAAATTTAAATATTAATAAATAAAAAATATATTATTTGTTAAATTTTTTTTTTGTTAAGTATTTGTTTAGTTATAATACAATTTTTTTTTTTATAAATATAAAAGGTGTTTTTTTCAAAAATTTATATTCTTATAAAATTTAATAATTATTATATTTCTTAATAATTATCTTGAATATTTACAAAATCTTACATCTATCTTAATTAAATTGAGTAGTAATTTCAATAATAATAAACAAACTTTCAAATATGATAAAAACATGTATCCTCTTTAGAGTTATTTTAAACTAACTTTAGACAAGAAACAAATTTATTATAAACTATACAAAACAAATTATAAATTTAAAACTAAAATTAGTACAATAAAACATCATTTTAAAGCCAACTATAAAACTGAATATGTTTGTATTTTTTTTTAAATATCATGAACTATAGATTATTACATTATTCATAATAAAAATAAAATAAAAAAATTGAATAGTTTTTTGGTCTACTAGATCATATGCAACCAATAATTTTTTTATATGATTAAAGATAAGAACTTCAGAATATTTGTTTTTGAACTCAATTCTTATTACAGAATTTTTATTAAACAAATAATTTCAACTCATACTTGGTAGTAATTTTAAAAAGAACATATACAACTGTATAGATTTTTTAAAAGTTTCAAGTATAAGATGTTAAGCATAACTAATACATAGTCTGTATATACAAATCAGGTTTTTTTAAAATTACTTTATATTGAATTAATAATAAATAGAAGTTATATCATATAATTTTAGACTTTATCCTTCATATAAACACTATATTTAGTTAAATAATCTTTAACCTAATTGAAGAATTTTAACTTAAAAAATTTTTTGTCAATAACTATTAACAATACTAATAATATGAATGTTTGTAACAAGAATCTTACTAATATATTGAAATACTATTATAATAATACTGTTTTTTGTTAGTTAAGATATATTATCTATATACTTAATCTTGCTATTATAATAATTTTTCTGTAGTTAATAAATCAACTAAAAAAACATGAAAATTTGTAAGTTATATTTGTCATTCTCAGTTCTGTCTTAAAAATTAAAAAAAAATCTTTAAAATAAAGAACTAATTATTTTTAATACTCAAGTTCAACTACAAAACTAAGTGAAACTTCTTGTATTTAATATTAAAAAAATTAAATAAAATAAATAATATGACTAATATATTAGTGATTTCAAAACTACATCTTAAACAACAATTCTGACTAATCAAAATTAAGATAATATTAAAGTTGTAATATTACTATTAAAACCTATTTATGAAACTATCAATCTACTTTTTTCTTAAATATACTTAACTATTAAAAATATATATATAGTTTTTTTTGTAATTATTTCATATCTTACAGAAACTAAAAATAAAATAAATTCAATAAAATTACATATGTTAGTAAAGATTTTTGAAAAGGTTAAAACAAATTACAAATTTCACCTCTAAAAACAATATTATTTAATTTATTATCCAAATTTTCTACCTTCTATTCTGATTCTTAAAAAGATAGAATTCATCAAATAATTAATAAAACTTATGAAAACTACACCTCTTCTAATAAAGAAATAAATATGCAAGTTTTTAAAACTAATTACTTAACTTCAACTTGTGATTATTTTCAAATCATTTAAAATGATCTTATGATAATATGTCAATTAGTAATAATGTATTAGATAAATATTTAAATATGCCTGATAAAAATGTGAATGTTCTTGCATTTTAGAAATCAAAATCTTAAATTCAAAGTAAATACCTCTTGTTAAAATGACTTAGGATTACCTAATTGCTTAGGCAATTAACATTCCAAGTAAGCAGGCATTTTCATTTGTGAAACATACATTAAATGCAGTGTGAAATTATTTGGAAGATGAAAATGCTAGTCTCTGCCTAAAAACGTGGTTTGATGCTGGGATATTAGAAAACAGAAAAAATAGTTTTGAGCTTTCAAATTAGTATATATTTTATATACGCGTTCTTTTTTAATAGGTTATGTAATATCGATATCGTTATACTGTATATATATACGTATAATTTGTAAAATAAAGGTATTACAAAATTTATAATAAACCGCCTAGGGTAGGATCGGTTTTTGACTATTTTTTGACAGGGGGTGAACTAGTTCATTAACTAGTCTGGACCCAAACTTTTTAGGAACCGGACTACACCAGACGCACCACTTAACATCCCTAAAATCAACGGTCTTTGCTGTTCCAATTGATATGTAATAGTTATAGTAAGTTACGGCATTTCTGCCGTAACTTTATCGTTATCATCAGTTATGACTAGTTACGGCAAAACTTACGGCAATTCGGCAGCATACAAATACCTATAACAAGCAAATTTTACATATTCTAATAAATAAACTGCTCAAGTTTTACATGGTAACACGGATTTTACTATCTGGCAACTCAAGTTTCACCTTCTATTATAATACCCGATTAAATAATTATAATATGACAAGGTGAAACCCGCGCTGTGAATTAGTAAAATCCGCTCATAAGGGTGAAATCCGCTTTTGCATAATAAAAAACCTGCCTAAACCCTAACATGATCTACGTGGTGGAATTTACAGCGCGGATTTCACCCAGTCCTATTATAATGATTATCGTTTATTTGCTATTGGTTATTTATATGCAATGACCCAAATGACCCAAATGACCCAAATAACCTGCTCATTTATTTGATGACTTGAAGTCATTTAAATTTAGTCAAATGACCAAGTCATCTACCATCATTGTACTGAGGTAGCTACGCTTTATTTTTGTATCACTTTGCATAGACGCTAAAGATCCTTCGCTACGTTCACGTTCAGAGAATAAGTCAATTGAGGGTTACCGGTTACTAAAACTTTTCCTATTAGAAATTCCACATTACAAAACAATTAAGCGAATAAGTTGATGTCTTACGTACGTACGTGCAACGTTACGAAAGTTATATTAATTTCATTTCCTTTTTTAAACGATCTTCGATCGTTACGCCCCTAAAACACCGTATCCCTGCGCCGTGCCCCGTTATCCATCTCTAACGTAATCTTAAATACATAATAAATGTGACTTTTAGTTATCCCGCTTCGGCGACCCTCAAAAAAAAACCCACTTAAAATACATATTATATTATACAACAGGATGTATACGATTATTAATTTATTTTTTTTTATATCGCCTCTATAAATAATCAAATTATTGAATATCATAAATAATAAATGATAGGCGAATATAATTGTGTGCGAATTATAACATATTGATTACCTAAATTTCCTATAATAAAATAAAGATCATATATATACATTAATAAAATTTAAATATTCATATCAAAATAATTGTTCATAGATGTTTAAAAAAAATAAAAATAAAATATCAATTCTGAAATAATTATGTAAAAATATTAGTAATGGTCTATCAACTTGTAATAAAATGGTATGATCATCGGTGTAGCCCAGCGGCTTTATTGTAATAATGCCACCATCCCACAAATTAAGAGAGCAATATACAAAATATATCATATTACAAGAATAAAATAATAATATAAAAGCAAAATACATTAATTTCAGCCATAGATCATTATAGGATACCACTGTCTCTTAAAGCATTCTGCAAGATCGTTTCTTTTACAGCGGAGAAAACAAGTCTGAAGAATGGAATGATGTGTTAGCAATGTGTAAAATCCTACATTATAATTGTGGTGAATGAAACTGAAATTGGTCAAATTTAAAATTTAATGTTAATATAAAATTTTCAATAAGCTGGTTTTAGTATGTTTAATACGCCTAAACCTGACCCAAAATTTCAGTTTCAGCCCCACAATAATTATGTATATACCAAGAAATAATCACTCTCACTAATAAAGGTGTGAACATTAGAACATGAAATGATATACGTCATAGCGGTAACTAGGGTAACTAACCAAATTTTATGTGACGTAGAGGATAACTACCCTTTACTTTGACGAATGTCCGCATCTCTATTCACTAAACCATTTTTTTTAAATATCAAACAAAAGCAATTTAGCTAAGATGTTCAATGCTATTATAGCTGTTCTGATATTATAAAAAAATGGTTCGAGAGATGGTGATTATTTCGGCATAATACGGTAGATAATAATTTTAATTAAGATAATATTAACCGAATCTAAAATAAGTCGAAGTAATGCTAGTTAATATAGCATAACTAATAATTAAACAATTATTTAAAGGAATGTCCGTAATTTACTTACGTTCGATGTATCGGTCGCTTGTGTGAGACTATAATAGATAAAGTAAATACAAAGTTTATATAAACTAAATGCTAATCTTATTTGACCTTTCACACTTACTGTGGGTATATGTTTAGTCTGGCACGATTAGTTTGGGTAAATCTCCATAATATATACTTTGCGGCTTTATTAACGTCAGCACCTCCTAATTTTTTGTTATTGATAAATATGTTGAAAAACATTCATGCCAATTTTGTATGCATTAAATGAATTTACCTAAATATTCGGGAAAATAATCTTTGAGAGGTACTCGGGGTACCTTGGTTTTAAATAAATCGATTTTGTTGAGAAACAAAATGATAGATGTTCGCAAAAACCATCGGCTATTAATTACAGATTCAAATAGTATGAGGCTTTCTTTCATTCGATTCTGAAAATATGTGTGCGTTAGTTCTTGACAATTCAAAAATAAAGATTTGAAAGTATAAAATACCTGGCCTGCTTCTTCCAAAAGAACTTGATCGTATTCGCTGAGAGCGACACAAAAAATAATAGAAGTCACGGCTTCAAAACAATGAATCCATTTTTTTCGTTCTGACCTTTGGCCCCCTACATCAAACATGCTAAGTATAGGTTTGAGAACGAATTATAAAAAATTAAAAGAAAACGAATAGGAACAAGTATGGGCACATAATTATCTAATAAAAACACATACTGTATGCTTAGTGTACCCATGTTAAATCTTGTTTCAGATATTCCTGTAGTTTTAGTTCGCGCCCTAAGCACGTCAGCTTCATCTGGAATATAACCCTGAGTCCCAATTCGCTTTACTGCATCAAAAAAGCTAAAAAAAATAGGAAAGTTGATGAATCCCCATGATTTTTGAACAATTATATATACTTACTAAGGTGCAGAATCCATCAGATAGAAATGATTTTGCTTTTCAAGAACTTCTGCTATTATCGGATCATCCCATACAGAATCTATGGCTACAACTATTTCTGGACTTAGTTGAAAAGCAGGGTCAGATTCTACATTATATTCCATAATTCTATCGATATAAACCTATAATTTTAATGCAAATGATGAATTAAATGGTTTATTATTATTATTAAATTAGACTATGAGAATACATACTCTGTTTATTGTCTTCTTAGGCTCTAATCGAAATTTTTTAATAGCGTTAACAATTGCTTGCGCTGAATCAATGAGGTTTTTATAAACTGTTATCCGATAAAGCGCTAGCTCTTCTTTGGAATAACCATTCTGATGTATTATTTTCATTTGTTTAACTATCGTCGATTTTCCAGATTCACCTGACCCTGAAAAATAGCATTATATGCAATTAGTTTCTAGAGCTTGTCTATAGTAACCCTCCATAGTTCTTGCAAATGGCTTAAGTCAAGTATTATGGCAAGCAAGAGTTTCGTTCGAAATCTTGGAAACACGTGAATAATAGATGAATAATATACCTAACAAAAGAATTTTACATTCTTTCTTGAATTTTCGGCTGTCTTCTTCAATCTGTTTATCAATTTGTTGACTCCGTAATCGCGATTCTTTTTCTTCTGCAGATAAACATAAGCCCATGTATACAGTTTTATATAAAATGAATGTACTATTACTTATTTCTTCTTGTTATTTGAAACTTATGTTTATTTTAAAGTATCGAAACAATTCGTACAAACGGCAAGACCTAGTTACTCCATTAATTCCATCATTACATAGTCATTTAGTCATGTGCACATCTTAGTGTTACCAGAGTTAAGGGTAGGTGTACGCAGATCATTTCACTATAGTAAATTATGCTTAGAGTTCGAATTGTTACGGTCCCTATTCTGCATATTTAAATAATCCATTTGATTGGCGAAAAGAATTATAAATACTAGTCAGATTAAATACGTAGCATAATTGTAGGTGCGTGTGTAATTACTTGATTGCACAATCGATGACCACCTAAAAAAACAATGGGTTTATAATCTTATTTATTATGAAAACTTTTACAGGTTGTCGAATACTTTTGTTCTTCGCTCGTTTGTATTTCTGAGGACGCTTAATTCGAATTCTAAGGAAATCGGTTTGACCCGAGATTTATAAAATCCGCTGAATCCGAGGATCCGTTATAAGTTTAAATACATCTATGGGATCTTTGCCCTTCAAAAAATTATTACATGAGATTTTTAATTAATAAAATCTATTTTTGGCAAAAAAAAAAAAATTCACACATAGAATGTAATTGGTCAATCACATGGTCTAACATGTGATAACTGACCAATAAACATATGTTTCGATTTTGAAATTGAACTTTTTAAGGTTAAATTAACTTTTAATTTAAATTTTTTATTAAAATTGTATTATTTCTTTAAAATAAAATAATTTTAATAAATCTAAAATTATCCAAGTTAATTACAAAATTACAAAATAATATGGGTAGAAACCAAGCAAATTGTTTTCAAATAAATTTTTTTTAAGCTTTAAAGTAAAATATTTTAACAATTATTAAACCAAATATGATAAATTTTTTTTATTTTAATTCTATATATATAATTATTGAATTAAAATAACTAAAAAATTACCAAGTTTGGTTTAATAGTTGTTAAGATATTTTGATTTAAAATTTTTAAAAAACTTACTAAAAACAGTTTGCTTAGTTTTTACTGAAAATTTCTTATATAAAGTTTTTGGTTTAAAAATAATTTTACAAAATTATATAGTTTTTATAAATAAAAATTAAAATTTTTAGTTATTTAGTAATTTAATTTAAATAATTTTTTTTATTTTATAAAGCTTAATAAGTAGGAGTTTGGGTTCTATAGCTTAGCAATTAAGTTTTTAAACTTTACAAACAAGGTTAATAGTTTGAGTTAGACTGAAGATAATTTTGTTTTTGTAACTTATTAAAGTTATTAATTAGATATAAAGACTTGTAAAAAAGTTTAAGTACAAGTACAAATTTGAAATAATAAAATTTTCAAAAAAAAAACAATCATAAAATGCAGATATTATATATAATAGCAATGTTACAAAAAATTATAATTATAAAAAATTATAATATAAGTTCTTAAAACTAATTTATTTATATTTTCTAATATAAATAGTACTAACATATTTAACTTATAAGATACTTGTTTAAAAAAATATATAATTAAAAAATTATGCAAATAAGTTCTAATTTTTTTATTTTTTTTTCACTTAGATAGCTGTGCAGTAGTTTTTTTTATTAAGAAAATATTAACACTACTACTAATATTTCATGCTTAATTTTAAAGTTTTAACTCTCCTGGTTGCTTTTAAAAATGCCTAAGAATGCACAGGTTGAACGAATGAATAAAGGGTGAATAATAGGTAAATAACAAAAAAAAAAAACTGCCATTATTCTACCTTATATCCGCCAAATAATGGCGGAATAACAGTAAAATAACAGGAGGTTTGTCAATATAAGTAATATAATAGTAACATAATAGCAAAATAATAGAACAGT